ACCTGGTTTAGACCTGGTTAGACCTAGTTTAGACCTGGTTTAGTCCTGGTTTAGTCCTGGTTTAGACCTGGTTAGACCTGGTTTAGTCCTGGTTTAGTCCTGGTTTTAGACCTGGTTTAGTCCTGGTTTAACCTGGTTTAGACCTGGTTTAGTCCTGGTTTAGTCCTGGTTTAGTCCTGGTTTAGTCCTGGTTTAGTCCTGGTTTAGACCTGGTTTAGTCCTGGTTTAGACCTGTTTTAGTCCTGTTTAGACCTGGTTTAGTCCTGGTTTAGACCTAGTTTAGTCCTGGTTTAGACCTGGTTTAGTCCTGGTTTAGACCTAGTTTAGTCCTGTTTAGTCCTGGTTTAGACCTGGTTTAGTCCTGGTTTAGACCTAGTTTAGTCCTGGTTTAGACCTGGTTTAGTCCTGGTTTAGTCCTGGTTTAGTCCTGGTTTAGACCTGGTTTAGACCTGGTTTAGTCCTGGTTTAGACCTGGTTTAGTTGGTTTCCTGTTTAGTCCTGGTTTAGTCCTGGGTCCTGGTTTCCTGGTTTAGACCTAGTCCTGGTTTAGACCTTAGTTTAGTCCTGGTTTAGAGTCTGGTTAGGAGTCCTGGTTTAGACCTAGTTTAGAGTCCTGGTTTAGTCCTGGTTAGACCTAACCAGTTTAGACCTGGTGGTTTAGGTTTAGACCTGGTTTAGACCTGTTTAGACCTGGTTTAGACTGGTTTAGACCTGGTTTAGACCTGGTTTAGACCTGGTTAGACCTGGTTTAGTAGACCTGGTTTAGACCTGGTTTAGACCTGGTGGTTTAGACCTGGTTTAGACCTGGTTTAGCTTGTTTAGACCTGGTTTAGACCTGGTTTAGACCTGGTTTAGACCTGGTCCTGGTTTGACCTGTTTAGTCCTGGTTTAGACCTGGTTTAGACCTGGTTTAGACCCTGGTTTAGACCTGTTTAGACCTGGTTTAGACCTGGTTTAGACCTGGTTTAGACCTGGTTTAGACCTGGTTTAGACCTGTTTAGACCTGGTTTAGTCCTGGTTTAGACCTGGTTTAGTCCTGGTTTAGACCTGGTTTAGACTAGGTTTAGAGTTTAGACCTGGTTTAGACTGGTTTAGACCCTGGTTTAGACCTGGTTTACCTGGTTTAGACCTGGTTTAGTCCTGGTTTAGTCCTGGTTTAGACCTGGTTTAGTCCTGGTTTAGACCTGGTTTAGACCTGGTTTGACCTGTTTAGACCTGGTTTAGACCTGGTTTAGACCTGTTTAGACCTGGTTTAGACCTGGTTTTAGACCTGGTTTAGACCTGTTTGGTTTAGTCCTGGTTTAGACCTAGTTTAGACCTGGTTTAGACCTGGTTTAGACCTGGTTTAGACCTGGTTTAGACCTGGTTTTGGTTTAGTTTAGACCTGGTTTAGACCTGGTTTAGACCTGGTTTAGACCTGGTTTAGACCGGTTTAGACGTTTAGACCTGGTTTAGACCTGGTTTAGACCTGGTTTAGACCTGGTTTAGTTCTGGGTTGAAAACACAACCTTTAGTCTCTTAGTCCTACAAAATAAAATCTTAACTCTGTCATGTTCTGTTTGTTCTTTCATTTTCTTATTTCGCTCGTTCGATGTTAAAATCCAGATTTTCTGTCACTGAACAAACGACAAGAGGCTGAATATAACATCTGCTGTTCTACATCTACGGGCTAATGCAGACGGTTTGGGTTCTGGTTTGGTTTTGGTTCTGGTTCAGGTTCAGGTTCTGGTTCAGGTTTGGTTCAGGTTCTGGTTCAGGTTCTGGTTCTGGTTCAGGTTCTGGTTCTGGTTCAGGTTCTGGTTCAGGTTTGGTTCTGGTTGGTTCTGGTTCTGGTTCTGGTTCAGGTTCTGGTTCAGGTTCTGGTTCTGGTTCAGGTTCTGGTTCTGGTTCTGACCTGCCATCCGTCTCTGATCTTCTGGTTGAAGATTCCGTACTCGTAGCGAATCCCGTAGCCGTAAGCAGCCAGACCCAGAGTCGCCATCGAGTCCAAGAAACAGGCTGAGGACAAAGAGACAGAGAAAGAGTCACAGAGGAAAGAAACACTGCGGAACTTTCCCACAGCAGCGGCCGGTTCGGTTCGGTTCGGTTCGGTTCGGTTCAGTTTAGTTTAGTTTAGTTTAGTTTAGTTTAGTTAGTTTAGTTCAGTTTAGTTCAGTTTAGTTCAGTTTAGTTCAGTTTAGTTCAGTTTAGTTCGGTTTAGTTCAGTTTGTGGAAATGTTGTTGTTTTGCCTGGATCGTTTCTGCAGTCGTTTCATCCTCTCCACAGATCTGACTCGTAACATGACCTGGTGTCGCAGCCCGTCTGTCTCCATGGAGTTTAAAGTCACACTGTGGAACATTTCAGACCCGGTTTAGACGTGACGCAGTGAGGAACAGGATCCAGAGCCTCACTTTGGTCTTCAGTGTTTTTATGAACTCAGCTCAACATGATCCTGGACTTTTATTTTGCTTTTCTGTCTCTAAATTAATTCCTTTGTGCTTTATTCATTTATTTTATTGTTTATTCTTTATTAATTAATTTTATTGTTTATTCATTTATTTTATTGCTTACTGTTTATTCATTTATTTTATTGCTTACTGTTTAGTAATTTATTTGATTGTTTATTGTTTATTAATTAATTTTATTGTTTATTAATTTTATTGTTTATTAAACTATTTCATTGTTTATTAATCTATTTATTGTTTACTAATTTTATCGTTTATTAATTTTATTGTTTATTAATTATTTTTATTTCTTATTGTTTATTAATTGATTTGATTGTTTATTAATTTGATTTCATTGTTTATTAATTTATTTCATTGTTTATTAATTGATTTCATTGTTTATTAATTGATTTGATTGTTTATTAATTGATTTGATTGTTTATTAATTGATTTGATTGTTTATTAATTGATTTGATTGTTTATTCTGTTGCACTTTGGTCGGCCTGTGTTGTTTTTAAAGTGTTGTTCTAAATCAAGTTGCAGAACAGTTTTGTCTGAGCTGAAACGGAGCAAAGGATCATGGTCTTTGTATTTCCCTCTGGTTTTTCACATCTGCACAGACTCGCTTCAGAATCGTGTATTTTCTGGATGTATTTTTTGAAAACTCGATCTCCAAACGTCCAAACCGTGAGACACTAAACTCTGCCTCTGTTACGTCACATCAGAGTCTCTGACCAAACTCTTTCACTGGGTCCAAACGTCCAGAGTTTCCTCAGCTCGTCGTGGTCGCGGTCGTTGCTTCAGTTCCTCTCGCAGACTCTGCACTCGTCTGTTCCTCGTTCCTCGCCGCCGTTTGGAGCTCATGTTCTAACCATGTCGGTCGTGCGCAGACACGTCCGAGGTGTGACCGACTCCACAGAGCCACACGTGTTTGGAATCTGATTTTTCTCATTTCACAATTTCACAATCGGTTGACGGTGAATTACAAAACTCATCCAGAGGCATAAAAAGGTCCAAATCACATCATCTCACGCTCGTGTCTCTTCCTCTTTTTTTACTGCTTCTTTAGAATTTATTATCACCATTTCATATTTTTTACTCTTCGTTATTAAATTGTGATGTTTGACTCCTGCGTCCAAATCATTTCCTCTGAGAATCAATAAAGTTTGTGTAAATTTAAGTTTATTTTCTGAGCTGTTCTGGGTTAAAGATCCTTAAAGATCCACAGTGGAACTTTTCTCCTGGAGGATGTGGCCACTGCTTGGTTTTTTTTTCTTTGCGTCATAGAATTTTCCAAAATACAGAGTTGAATTTGTCCATCTCTGTGTAAAACGTGCGGCGCCGTCAGGTTAAGTTACAGGTCAGATCTGTGGAGAGGAGACGCCGCTCACGACCAGTAAGAGATTAAGTGATAAATAATGTTAATAATGTTTGTGGGACGTTTCAGGCTCCAGAAAAGTGACGCAGTGCATCTTTAGTAAAGAGTCGATGTTCTCACCCGCCAGACGGCCCAGACCTCCGTTCCCCAAACCAGCGTCCTCCTCGATCTCCTCCAGCTCCTCGATGTCCAAACCCAACTGAGACACGACAAACGAGAAGGAGACGAGAAGGAGACGAGAAGGACACAAGGACACAAAAAGGATGCAAGAAGGAAGTGAGAAGGACAAAAAAGGACACAAGGAGGACACAAGGAGGACACAAGGAGGACACAAGGAGGACACAAGGAGGACACAAGGAGGACACAAGGAGGAGACAAGGAGGAGACGAGAAGGCGACGAGAAGGAGACAAGAAGGAAACAAGGAGACAAGAAGGAAACAAGAAGGAGACGAGAAGGACACAAGAAGGAAACGAGAAGGAAACAAGAAGGAGATGAGAAGGAAACAAGGAGACAAGAAGGAAACGAAAAGGAAACGAGAAGGAAACAAGGAGACAAGAAGGAAACAAGAAGGACATGAGAAGGACACGAGAAGGAGACGAGAAGGAGACGAGAAGGACACAAGGACACAAAAAGGATGCAAGAAGGAAGTGAGAAGGACAAAAAAGGACACAAGGAGGACACAAGGAGGACACAAGGAGGACACAAGGAGGACACAAGGAGGACACAAGGAGGACACAAGGAGGACACAAGGAGGAGACGAGAAGGCGACGAGAAGGAGACAAGAAGGAGACAAGAAGGAAACAAGAAGGAAACAAGGAGACAAGAAGGAAACAAGAAGGAGAACGAGAAGGAAACAAGAAGGAGATGAGAAGGACACGAGAAGGAAACGAGAAGGAAACAAGGAGACAAGAAGGAAACGAAAAGGAAACGAGAAGGAAACAAGGAGACAAGAAGGAAACAAGAAGGACACGAGAAGGAGACGAGAAGGAAACAAGGAGACAAGAAGGAAACGAGAAGGAAACAAGGAGTACACAAGGAGGAGACAAGAAGGAGATGAGAAGGAGACGAGAAGGAAACAAGGAGACAAGAAGGACACGAGAAGGAAACAAGGAGACAAGAAGGACATAAGAAGGAAGTGAGAAGGACATGAGAAGGAGACAAGAAGGAAACAAGGTCATTTACACTGGAGAAAATCACCAACGACAAAAGTAAAAGTTCTGCATCTGAGTCTCGTTTCTGGACTTGATCTGTATTTTCTCCTGGTTCTGGTTCAGGTTCTGGTTCAGGTTCTGGTTCAGGTTCTGGTTCTGGTTCAGGTTCTGGTTCTGGTTTGGGTTTGGTTGAGCTCGGTTCCTCCTGTCGTCTCGTCTCTGGGCAGATTCACTGTTTGATTTGTTCCTGGAGGAAACTCGTCCAAACACCAGGAGAAACATGCAAAACTGGAGCTGGACTCAAGAGTAAAAGTATTTTTTGGTAGAGTTTTAGATCTGCTGAAGACGCAGATGTTGGACTCAGTTTATAAAAGTATCAGATAAACAAAAGGATTGAGTCACGTTCATGTTGGTTCCGTCTGTGAAGAGAAGTTGGATTTTTCAGTCGAGTTTGTGATTTTAAGTTTGTGCTGAACAAAGTGTCATCGTACTTTTTCATTTTGTGACTGTGATTCTGTAATTTTAACTTTTCAGTTCATTTTCTGATGATAAAATCCACAAAACACATTTTATGTTCGACTCAACTCATTTCAGATTTGGCAGCACAGTGGCTGAGTGTTTAGCACTCATGCCTCACAGCAAGAAGGTTCCCGGGTCTTTGTGTGTGGAGTTTGTGTGTTTCTCCTCGTGTCTGGACGAGTTTCCTCCAGTGGCTCCAGGAAAAACCTCAGAGTCCAGGTCAATTAAAAACAATCAATCAATAAATCTGCCCAGAGTCGAGAGGAGAACATCAACACTGGAGCTACAACCTGAACAAACATCTGTCCTGTTTCAAACTGCACTGTCCCCGTCTCCAAATAAATGAAATAAATACATTTATTTTATGCTCAACACAAATCTGCAATAAACACGAGTGTTTCTGAACGTTTTCACTCTCCACTCGACCGGTTAAACGTCTGTCTGGACAAAACACAGAGTCTGAAGTCGTTTTCCTCAGTTTCAGACTCTGTGACTCTGTGACATTCTGGGTCATTTATGGATTTGAAGTTTCAGGACTCGTTTGTGGGTCGTTTGTGTAAAGTGAAGTGACGTTTCAGACCTGGTACATGGCTTCGTCACACGTGTTCTGGACGCCCAGGTTCACCATCGTGTTCTGAAGAGTCCGACCCATGTAGAACTCCAGAGACAGGTAATACACGCGCTGAAACAGAAAGAAACACGCTGAAACACACGCTGAAACAGACAGAAACACGCTGAAACACACGCTGAAACACACAGACAGGTAATACACGCGCTGAAACAGAAAGAAACACGCTGAAACACACGCTGAAACACACAGACAGGTAATACACGCGCTGAAACAGAAAGAAACACGCTGAAACACACGCTGAAACAGAAAGAAACACGCTGAAACACACGCTGAAACAGAAAGAAACACGCTGAAACAGAAAGAAACACGCTGAAACACACGCTGAAACACACGCTGAAACACACAGACAGGTAATACACGCGCTGAAACAGAAAGAAACACGCTGAAAACACGCTGAAACAGAAAGAGACAGGTAATAAACACGCTGAAACGCTGAAAGAGAGAACACGCTGAACACAAAGAGAGAAACACACGCTGAAACACACGTTGAAACAGAGAGAAACACGCTGAAACAGAGAGAAACACGCTGAAACAGAGAGAAACACGCTGAAACACACAGAAACACACGCTGAAACAGAGAGAAACACGCTGAAACAGAGAGAAACACGTTGAAACAGAGAGAGACGGGTGATAAACACTCTGAAACACACAGATTTTTTACATTTATGAAAATTATTGTAAAAAAAAAAATCTAAACCCTTAAATCTGTCAGAAAATATCTTGGTGTTGAAGTGACGTGTTGATGCAGTGAGTTCAGTTTTTGAACTGAATCTGATGAAATTATTGTGACAATTGTGACACTAAATTTCCACATCGTTCGATCTGTAAAAGTGAACGGAAAGAAACGGAGGATTTAAGAGGAACCAGGAACTTTTCTTATTTATTCATTTTTCAAATATTTACACGAACTGAACTTTGCACATTTACAAACCCCCGAGTCTCTGTTTGGTTCAAACTCAAACGCAACAGAAAAAGTGAATCGAGAATCAGTCACAACGAGTCTAATAAAAATAAAAATCTAAAATTCAGCGTTGAACCTGTGCAAATGTTTTTATTTCCGTTTCTGTTTCAGCTGAAGTGGCTGTAAAAGGTGAAACAGAAGTTAAACAGAGGAAGTCGTGTTTGTGCTGCAATAATGTGACAAAACAAATGAAAGAACAGACTTTGGACTTTTGATTTTTCAATTTGAAACACAAAACATTTTATTGACTCGACTCAGAGTTTGGACACAAACGCAGAAAAACTCAACGTTTCTTTTCTTTGTGTTTAACATTTTTCTATTTGTCACACGGAGACGTCAGAAACATGAAGTGAGATTCTGTAGGAAAGTTGAAAAAGTTGAAACAGTTTTTGTGCAGCTCAAATCCTCGTTTTTTCTCTGGAGGATTTTCAGGAT